TACTTATAATGTGTAAATTGCCATTTAATTTTATTCCCTTTATTATATAGGTTTGATTATGACCATCAACTATCATGCTTGAACCTGATTCGATCTGTGCATGTATTATTACGCACGAGAACCAGAAAATTTGTGAGCCCAACAAAAAGCTAATTTAATCATATAACTGGGAATTAATGTCCGTAGACTTTACTTAATGGTCTTGTAGTTTATCATAAATAAATCAATATTTGGGTTTAAAAAGAAGAAGAAGAAGAAGAAGAAGAAGAAGAGGAGGAGAGGATGAGTGGAGAAGGAAAGGTGGTGTGTGTAACGGGAGGTTCTGGTTATATAGCTTCATGGCTTGTGAAGCTACTGCTTCTGCGTGGCTACACCGTTAAAGCCACACTGCGTGACCCCTGTAGGTTTCTCTTCTAATATGTTTACCCTTTTGTTTCTCTTACACGTATAATATATATATATATATATGAGGTGTATGTATATCTCTATATATATGTGCAGATGATACGAAGAAAACAGAGCACTTGCTTGGACTTGATGGGGCAAAGGAAAGACTTCATTTGGTGAAAGCAGAGTTACTTGAAGAAGGGTGTTTTGACTCTGTAGTTGATGGATGCCATGGTCTATTTCACACTGCTTCTCCTGTCTCCTTTTCACCATCTGATCCACAGGTACTTCAAACATTCATCTCTCTCTCTCTCTCTCTCTTCTTCTAACCCTAGTTTGATTTGTTGAGAATAAAATAAGATTGTAAGCGGTAACATGTTAATCCCTAATGAAGAAAATATATAATTAATTATTCAAGTCTCATTCTACTAATAACTTTAGTTTTAACATGTTAACCCTAGTTTGATTTGTTGTAATCTTGAACCACCGAATTATAATTTGTGATTGCAATACAATCTTATAACTTAATCTTATTTTTTTTTTTATGAATTTAGTTCAATTTCGTACCATTAATTCTAATTTGTGATTGTAATGCAATATTAGAAGTTAAGTTAATTTGTTCTACTTCGTTCAATCTTGGATATTTGTATTGTGATTTGTGATTATGTTATAATTTTGGAACTTAATTTTGCTCTTTTGCAGAGTTGGTGAAAACTTGGATCAATAAAATTGTGTGTGACCTTGAAACTAGATCTTATCTATATACGGAATCAGTGCAGTCTTAGATTAGTAGATTATGATTTACGATTATTATGTGATCTTGAAATTTGAGCTTGTCTTTTTGAAGGCTAATGGTTTAGATCTAAAAAGCTGTTAAGCCAATAGTTTCGATTATATATAAAATTAAAGAGACGTATAACTAATTTAAACGAAAAAAGTTCATTTCATCTCCTTCTAAGTCTTACTTGTTTTGATTCCTTTGCTTTCGTAATAACAAGTGCTAATAATATTTTCAGGTAGAATTGATTGAACCGGCAGTAAATGGAACACTTAATGTTTTAAAATCATGTGCGAAAACTTCGAGTGTCAAGAGGGTGGTTTTGACATCTTCTATTGCCACTATTCTTTACAACGGAGAACCTCTCACCCTTCAAGTTCTGCTCGATAAGACTTGGCAATCTAATGTTGGTTATAGCCAGAGATCGAAGGTTTCTCGCTCTGATATCAATTTATTTATTTATTTTTTCATTTTTTTAAAATAAGAAAATTAATTCGCTAGTTAACGAATTGTTCAACCAATTGCATTGACTTTATTCTTGGATTTACTCTAGGAAAATTTTAAAACTACAAATGTAATCTTTCTCAAAATCTAACATTGATATATACCAAAAACTTATTAAGCATATGCGTGTTCATACTTTAGGTCAAACTAAATGAGGTAGTATTTAGTCTTATACTATTTGTTCTTAATCTAGGTTGAACAATTAAGAATTTAAAATTCAAAAAAACATGAATGTTTTGAATTAGAATTTAAATCACTTTCTTGTACTCCGACTAATCCGAATTTGTTCCGATCCGATTCTAAATATTAACGTAGTAAAATTTTTTGTGGGTACAGCTTTATTACACGGCTTCAAAAATACTAGCAGAGGAGAGTGCTTTAGAATTCTCAAAGCAACATGGAATTGATTTGGTTGTAATGAACCCAGGACTTGTAATTGGTCCCCTGCTACAACCAACTCTCAATTTCTCTGTTGAGGTCATTCTCAAAATGATCAATGGTAAGTAGTATTGATTATATATGTATACATATATTTAAATAATTTACTTTTTTGTGATTCAAATATTAGTTAAATTTTAAGTAAAAATTATTTAATTTTTTTATAATAAAATAGATCCTAATATTAAAACGTGCTCGTATTGAATAATTGAGATTAGATTTGAAATGAGAAACATACCTGAATTTATTGCGAAAAAAATTTGCACGTCCTGCAATAGATTTTTAAATCAACACGTGATCCTTTAAAGCTCTCACACACTTTCTATTTCTTACGACGAAATAACATAGTAGAAACAACTCTTACATGTGATTTGAGAATCATAATCGACTATTTATATTATTAGATTTTCATTATTTCTAATTTCGTACGTTATAAAATTAGAAATAATATTTTTTATCTCTGCACATAAAAATAAAAACTACACTTTAACTTGATATATTAAGTTCTAAAATACTCAAAATTGTGTTAGATTACTTTTAACGGACCTAATTAATTTGATAAAATTTTATGAATAATAATTTACACATAAGTTCACATGATAAATCTTAAACCTAACAAAAATAACTTTAGAAAATGCTGTTAACTTAAAACAAAAATAGTGTGTGTGATAAAAATATATTTCGAGATTTTAAAAATTACATATTATAACTTTTTAATCTAAACCTATTAAAAGTAGATTTTGATGTTTGGTTTTTGCCAAAAAAAAATTTTGGACTTCATTCATTTAATTATAAAAATACTTTTCAAATAAAAAAACTCGGTTAACCGTATTTTAATTCGTTTTAAATTATAAATTTAATTAACATCCGAATTACGAAATAGTAAATTATATATTAGAAAAAAAAAGCTCAAATGATGAAATTAAGATTTGCTCTAATTTCAAGTTTTGAGGATGAAAAATTAATTTTGCACAAATAATATTTTTACAAATTAAATTAAATTAAATTAAATTTAATTGCAGGAGATATAGTGTTCCCAGGAAGAGATTATAGATTTGTTGATGTGAGAGATGTGGCAAGTGCTCATATTCAAGCTTTTGAAATTGATTCTGCTTGTGGGAGATATTATTTGGTTGCACAAGTTTTAGCCTTGTCTGAGGTGCTCCAAATTTTGCATCAACAGTTTCCAGCTCTGCAACTTCTTCCGAGGTCACTTCTTCTTCTTCTTCTTCTTCTTCTTCTTTACGTGTGTGTATATATATATATATATGTATATACTACAAAAATATACACTGCTCTTGATTGATACAGATCAGGAGAAAACAGCAGCAATAGTGGTGGGCCAAGGTGCCAGGCACCAGAGGAGAAAGCAAAAACTCTGGGTATCAATTTCATTCCTGTGGAAGTTAGTCTCAAAGACACTGTGGAAAGCTTGAAGCAAAAGAATTTCCTTTAACATTTGAATTACTATTTCTAATAATATCTTTTGGGAAATATTCTACACTATTGTCTAGCACAGTAACTTTCCTTCTTTAATTTGTTAATGTTAGTTGTTTTTATTTTCTTTTTGTGTTGGCTTTGTGAATCATCTTCTGTATCAGAACAAAGTACTAGTGGGTTGATGTTTTCAGCTTTGTATTAATTGGTGGTCTCCTTCATCCTCATAGTCATGGACTTTTTGGTTTTCTACTTATTGTTCTTGCTCTAACTTCTTTGCTTTACATGTTTTGTATGAGTTATTTCTTCCATTTCTGTTGGGATTTTCCTAAGGATCAATGCGAAACAACAAATGCTAAAAAAACTAGTTCCTGTTCTCTCAGGCCTTCCATAATGTCATATAAATCTAATTAGGGAATGGCGATGGAGCTCCTCGATGGGCCGCTTCTCGAGGCCCTGAGTCAATACGGTGGATCCCACTGGGAGATGATGAGCCCAGTGAACCAGAGAAAATTTGTGAACGTGTTATCTTTTTTATGTATGTGAACTCTACAAGAATATCATTTAATCATATAACTGCAAATAAATATCTGTAGGCTGCAATAAATGCTTTCCAGTTGATAATAAATAAATCAATAATTGGGCTTAAAAAGGGAGTTGGGGCTTTGAAAAATATGAAAATTTTAAAATTTTAAAAAGAAGAAGAAGAAGAAGAAGAAGAAGAAGAAGAGGAGGAGGAGAGGATGAGTGGAGAAGGAAAGGTGGTGTGCGTAACGGGAGGTTCTGGTTATATAGCCTCATGGCTTGTGAAGCTACTGCTTCAACGTGGCTACACTGTTAAAGCCACACTGCGTGACCCGCGTAGGTTTCTCTTCTAATATGTTTACCCTTTTGTTTCTCTTACACGTATATAATTATATATGTAAATGTGAGGTGTATGTATATGCATATATATATGTACAGATGATACGAAGAAAACAGAGCACTTGCTTGGACTTGATGGGGCAAAGGAAAGACTTCATTTGGTGAAAGCAGAGTTACTTGAAGAAGGGTGTTTTGACTCTGTAGTTGATGGATGCCATGGTGTATTTCACACTGCTTCTCCTGTCTCCTTTTCACCATCTGATCCACAGGTACTTCAAACATTCATCTCTCTCTCTCTCTCTCTCTTCTTCTAACCCTAGTTTGATTTGTTTAAAAAATAAAGAATGTCCCTGTAATGTCTGAATTCCAAATAGAAAAGATGAATAACTGTTAATTTTCGTATAATTGTCCCAAGTCTCTCTCCACTAATAACTTTAGTTTAAACTGTTGAAGTACAGTAATTTGAGCCTTAAACATGTTGGGTAAGTGGTACTTGATTTAGATAGTTAGAAATAACATCATAATATATGTAAATTTGGTGATTCTAAGTTGTTCTAATCTTAAACAATTAGACTGTGATTTGTGATTGTGATATGATCTTAAAACTTGATCTTATTCTTTTACCAAGTTAGTTCAATCTTTTAACTCTTATATTGTAATTTGTGATTGTGATACAATTTTAGAACTTAATTTTATTTTTTTACCAAGTTAGTTCAATCTCCAATTATTAGATTATAATTTGTGATTGTGAGACGATTTTAGAACTTGAGTTTATTCTTTTGTCGAATTTATTCAATTTGAATCATTGGATTATGATTTGTGATTGTAATGTAATTTTGGAACTTGAGTTTACTTTTTTGCTGAGTTGGTAGAAACTTGAATGAGTATATGATTTACGATTATGATATAATTTTGGAACTCGATCTTGTTCTTTTACGGAGTTGGCGCAGTCTTAGACCTCAGATTGTAATCTGTGATTACCATATGATCTTGAAACTTGTAATTAAACGAGAAAAATTCATTTCGTCTCCTTCTAGGTTTTATTAATCTTGATTGCTCTATTTTGATAATACCAAATGTTTCAGGTGGAATTAATTGAGCCGGCAGTAAAAGGAACACTTAATGTACTAAAATCATGTGCAAAAGCTTCAAGCATAAAGAGGGTGATTTTTACATCTTCTATTCTCACACTTCTTTACAATGGAAAACCTCTTACCTCCCAAGTTCTGGTTGATGAGACTTGGCAATCTGACGTTGATTTTTGCCGGAAAACAAAGGTTTATTCCTCTGAAATCAATTTATTAACATACATAATCTCTTAAATTTATCTCTGATACACCTAAAAATTCTCTGATATATTCAAAATTTACAAAATGTATGTGTATAGAATTTATAACTTTCTTATGCTCGAATTAATTCAAATCTGTTTTCATTTGATTCTAAACTAATAGTAGTAACTCATATTTATATAAAAATAAAATATTATTCCATACATATCAGTGTCTATATCTTGAAAAACTCTCTTATTCATTCTTTTCCAAATAATCTAAAAAATAGTTAAGGTAATAAGTTTAACAACATTCTTTTTTAAGCCAACCCCACTCCACGTCCAAATCTCCTCTCTAACCGAACCCGAAGAAACCCAAAAAAGGCCTAACAAGCCATAAATCATGCACCAGAGATCATAAACAACCGGACATCGCAGAAGCAGATGACAGCATGACTCTTCCGCCCTTTTGCACAAAAAAACAGCCATTTACCACAATCTGACCCCTAGTCTTCTACTTATCAAGCGTCAATATATGTTGGTCCATATAGATTTTATTACTTTCTTGTGCTCGGATTAATCCAAATCTGTTTTGATCTGGTTCTAAATTAATAATGACCCCTACTTATAGAAAGATCAAAATATTAACATAGTCAATTGTTTTGTGGGTGCAGCAATGGTACATTGTTTCAAAAATACTAGCAGAGGAAGCTGCTTTGGAATTCTCAAAGCAACATGGAATTGATTTGGTTGTAATGAACCCAGGATTTGTAATTGGTCCTCTGATACAGCCAACTCTCAATTTATCCCTCCAAGTCATTCTCAAAATGATCAATGGTAAGTAGCATTAATTAATTCATCTCTCTTGTATAATTTCCAAGAGTAAATTTTAGTTTTTTTGAATAACTCATTTTCTCGTAGTTCATACGTTACTTAAACTCATTAAGCATCTCTTTTATCAAACGTGTTATTTAAGTAGGAGTTTAGGATGGTTATAACCTGCGATATGAGCTTTAAAAGTATCGTTAAATAGTTGTTCACTCTGAATTTCTTTTGCTTAATTGTAAAGATATTTTTGAAATGCAAAAGTCAAGTTCAAAAGTTCAGCTATTTCTCTTTAAATTATAAGTCTAATTAACGCCTGAATTACGAATTAGTAAATAATACTTACATAAATTAAATCAAATTGCAGGAGATATAATGTTCTCAGGAGTGGACTATAAATTTGTTGATGTGAGAGATGTGGCAAATGCACATATTCAAGCTTTTGAAAGTGATTCTGCTTGTGGGAGATATTGTTTGGTTGCACAAGTTTTAGCTTTGTCTCAGGTGCTCCAGATTTTGCATCAACAATTTCCAGCTCTGCAACTTCTTCCAAGGTCACGTCTTCTTTTTCCTCTTCTTCTTCTTCTTCTTCTTGTTAGATCGGATAAGTTACAGCTTCAAAGGAAGCTGAAATGATGAGCAAATTTAGAGAGAGAGTCGTGGAGAGAGAGAGGACAGCAAAACGGGGCATAAGGCTTCAAAAGCCTCTGTTTGTCATATTGCAGAAAGATGATTTTTTGAGAGTAAAAAGGATAATTTTTATTGATTTGCACGATTACATTTATAAGCACATAGTTGTGATTGATTACAACTAAAAAACAAACAATAAGATTAAACTCAGAAATTCATACATACACACTGCATGACAGCTACGTAGGTTGCGGTGAAACATTTTCTTCACGGCTTTATTTGAATTTGAATTTGAATAAGCAAATTAATAAAATCATTAAAATCAACACTCCTACTTAATGATTTTATCACCAATTCCAACTTTTCTTTGCAAGTCCTCGAACTTAGGCTTAGACAATGACTTTGTAAAGATGTTTGCAAGCTGCTCATCAGTTGGGCAGCGTAGAAGGCTAATTTCTTGATTTTTCGCAGCATCTCGAATGACATGGAACTTGACTTTGATATGTTTGGTTCGTCCTTGCATGACTGGACTTTTGGTGATAGCAATTACAGACTTGTTGTCTACTCGTATCACAGTTGGTCTGTGTAAAGCATGCCCCAAGTCTACCATTACTTGCCTCAACCAGATGGCCTGATTTGAAGCCACAGCAGCTGCAATGTATTCCGTTTTAGTTGTTGATTGTGCAACTACCTCCTGCTTCTTTGAAGCCCACGAAAAAGCTCCTGAGCCAAAAGAAAATACATAACCAGAAGTACTCTTTGCTTCATCCATACAGCCAACTCAATCACTATCTATATATCCTTATAGCTCACCCCACTTTGGCATCGTACCATATTCTAAAATTACAGGTCTCCCGCTGGTACCTCAACACATGCTTAGTTGCTGCCATGTGCATCTGTTTGGAGCTGCCATAAATCTTGACAGAAGGCTCACTGCGTATAGCATGTCTAGCCTTGAGGAAGTGAGATAGAGAAGACTACCAACCAGACTTCAATAGATACCCTCATCAACCTCACTTCCACCTTCATCCTTTGATAGCTTTAGGTTAGGCGTTAATGGAGTCCTTACAGCTTTACATCTTTCTATTTTAAATTTACTCAGGATTTTCCTATCGTATTTGGACTGACTTAGGAAGATTCCTCCCTTTGTTTGATTGATCTCCAGTCCAAGAAAATAAGCAACTCGCCTTAGACTTGACATCTTAAATTGATCTTTTAACTGTTTCTTGAATCCATCTATCTCTGCTTCATTACTTCCTGTAACCAATATGTCGTCCACATACACAACAGTGAATATCTTTAATTCTCCTTCAATTTTGGTGTATAATGTAGCTTCAGTTTTGCTTCTCATGAAGCCACACTGTAGGAGATAACCATTCAATTTCTCATACCAGGCTCGGGGTGCCTGCTTCAATCCATATAAAGCCTTATGCAAGACATACATATGATCTTTTTTTCCTGCAACTATAAATCCCTTCGGCTGCTCCACAAATATTTCTTCCTTCAGATTACCATTTAAGAAGGCAGCCTTGACATCCAAGTGCATTACTCGCCATTGAAACAGAGCTACAAGTGCCAAAATGAGACATATGACTTCATGTCTTGCTATTGGTGCGAATGTTTCAGCAAAATCAACACCAGGTACTTGCGCAAAGCTCTTTACAACCAACTGGGCCTTATATTTGTTGATTTTACCTTCAGGATTTTGCTTTAGCCTGAATACCCACTTCACTCCGATTGGTTTCTTGTTTGCAAGTCTCGGAACCAGGGTCCAGGTTCCATTGTTCTCAATTACACGCATTTTCTCTTCCATTGCTTGAACCCACTGAATTTGTTTTCTAGCTGCTTCAAAGGTTACAGGTTCATCCACAACAAGGTTGCAACGTTCATAAATATCAGCAAAGTTTTTCATTTTAGTTGGCCTTGTGCTTTCCTCATCTGAACTATCACCATCTTCCCCTGCTACATTAATTGAGGTAGATGTTAGAGTTGGACTAGGTTTGGTTGTAGCTTCAATAGTTAAACAATCTGTTTCTATCTTTTTTTTCTCCCAGTTCCAGTAACTTGTTTCATCTACCAACACATCTCTCTGGATCATGAGCTTATTGGTTTTCAAGCTTGAAACCCGATATGCCTTCGCTTCTGCACTATAACCCAGAAACAAACCCAATTCAGCCTTCTCGTCCAGCTTTGTTCTTCTGTCATTTGAGACATGACAGTAGCAAATCGACCCAAACACTTTTAGATGCTGAGTTGACGATTTGATGCCGCTCCAGGCCTCCACAGGTGTCATTCCTTTTACTGCCTTCGTGGGTAGCGTGTTGAGCAGAAACACAACAGTGTTTACTGCCTCAACCCAAAGCACTTTTGGTAAATGCTTGTCAGCAAGCATGCTTCTTGCCATTTCCACAATGGTTCTGTTCTTCCTCTCCGAGACATCATTATGTTGTGGAGAATATGATGCTGTGAGCTGTTGTTTGATCCCATTTTTGAAGCAAAAATCTTTGAATTCACTGGAATTGAACTCAAGCCCGTTGTCTGTTCTTAGGCACTTCAACACAACCATATTCCTTCTCTGCCATGGCTTTAAATCTCTGAATTCATCAAATATCTGAGCTTTGTTCTACAAAAAGCACACTCAGGTCATCCTGGTGAAATCATCAATAAATAAACCAAAATACCGTTTCCATTTATTGAATTTTCACTCATCGGACTACATATGTCCGAGTGAATTAGTGCAAACTTTTGATCTCCCCTCCAATCTGTCTGAGTAGGGAATGCCTGTCGAGCTATTTTTTCCAACTGACAGACACTACAAACTTTCTCGGTAGCTCCTATGTTTGGAAGATCCTTGGTTAGGTCTTCCTTCTGCAACTGAAGTAACCCAGCATCATGATAATGGCCAAAATGTCTATGCCACAGCTTCCCTTCAGGCATTGTGACAACGTTTGCCTTTTCAACTACTTCTTTGAGCTTCAAGGAGTACGCTTGGTTCCTTTTTGGAATGAGAGCAATCAATTTGTCTTCGGGATCATGAATTTTACAGCATTGGTTCTTAAATAAAACTGAGTATCCATAATTAGTAATTTGATTTACATTAAACAGATTTTGAGAGAGAGTGGGAACAGAATTTACATCGGCAATAAGTTTCTTACCTTCCCTGGTTTCTATAGCAACATTACATTTGTCTTTTATGGATTCTAGCATACTATTTCTAAGTCTCACTTGGCCTGTTGTTGATTTGTCAAGTGTCACGAACATGGCTTCATTCTTGCACATGTGAGAAGTGCATCCACTATCAACGACCCAGAAGCTATTGTCTTCCACTGTCAATTCACTTGAAACAACGAGAATTGTATTACGTTACTCACTAGATACCTCAGTGACATTCACATGTTGCAGCTCCTGCTTAAATTGTGTTGCTTCCTGCTTTTGTTTTTGCCTACAAAACTTCTCCTTGTGGCCAAGTCTTTTGCAAAAGTTGTACACGAGCATGCATGTTCAACCGTTACTCCTGTGATTGCAGCTTATTGATTAGTTCAGCTGAAGATATCGTATCAATATTCGCAAATTCCTCCAATGCTGAGATTTTAGATTCAAATTTAGGGGGTAAATTTATAAAAATTTGCTCTACCACCCTTGATTCAGAAAAGTCATCCCCCAATAATCTCATTTTATTCACAATATCTGAGAATTTGGAGGTATAGTCCCTAACGGACTCATTTTCTTGCATTCTGAGTAATGCAAACTCGCTTTTTAGCCTCAGTAGTTTGATCTTCATGCTTCTGTCTCCTCCATCAAACTCTTCCTTCAGTTTCTCCCTCGCTTCCATGGGTGATTCATAGTTCATAATCCTAGAAAATACCGTGTCCGAAACAGTTGAGAAAAGGCAAACAATTGCTTTTGGTTTCTTGGCCTTTTCTTCCTCGTGTCTTTTAATCTGGTTCAAGGTGGCAGTGTCTTGTAGTGGTGTTGGGTCACTGTCATCTATGATAACATCCCACAAACCCAAAGCTTTGAGGTGAGCTCGCATCTTTATTGCCCACACATGGTAATTTTCTCCGTTAAATTGCAGAGCAGGGGTAGTTCATGAGGTAGCCATCGGGTTTGAGGAGTTTTTTTATTCACAGGTTACGTAGGAGAACTTAGATCTGATACCAGTTGTTAGATTTGATGAGTTATAGTTTCAAAGAAAGCTGAAATGATGAGCAAATTTAGAGAGAGAGTCGAGGAGAGAGAGAGGGCAACAAAACAGGTTATAAGGCTACAAAAGCCTCTCTTTTTTAGATTGCAGAAAGATGATGATTTTTGGAAAGAAAAAAGAATAATTTTTATTGATTTGCATTATTACATTTATAAGCACAGAATTGTGCTTGATTACAACAAAAAAAAACGATAAAATTAAACACAGAAATCTATGCATACACGTTGCATGACAGCTACGTAAGCTGCGGTGAAATATTTTCTTCACAGCTTTATTTGAATTTGAATTTGAATAAGTAAATAGATAAAATCATTAAAATCAACACTTCTTCTTCTTCTCCTTCCTGTTCTTCTTCTTTTTTTTTTTTTTTCTTCTTCTTCTTTTCTTCTTCCTCTTTTTCTTCTTCCTCTTCTCCTTCCTCTTTTTCTCCTTCCTCTTCTCCTTCCTCTTCTTATTCTTCTTCTTCTTCCTCCTCTTCTTCTTCTTCTTCTTTTTGATATATAATTTTTAATAAAAACATTTCAAAACATATAATCCGACTCAAACTCTAATATCTTGTAAAAGGAGCTTAAGGAGATATATATACATATATGTAAAATGTATAATACTTATTACTACAAAAATATACACTACTCTTGTTTGATAAAAATAGGCAAAAACCTATCTCTTAGTAAGAACACATGATCTCTTGGTAAGAACACATGAAAACATATCTCTTAGTAGACTTATCTATATGTATATATAGATATATATGCATGTAGTGTATAATATATATACGACATAAATATATGCTACTCTTGTTTGATACAGATCAAGAGAAAACAGTAGCAATAGTGATGGGCCAAGATACCAGATATCAAAGGAGAAAGCGAAAACTTTAGGTATCAATTTCATTCCTGTGGAAGTGAGTCTCAGAGAAACTGTGGAAAGCTTGAAGCGAGAGAATTTCCTTTGAGATTTCAATTATTATTTCTAATAATATCTTTTGGGGAAAACACAATTCTAATAATATATATATATCCAACAATTATGTGAACCAACATAAACATATATATATATTTCTATATATATATATATATATGTTTGCTCATGCATATAATTAATGATGATGTAGTATGCATATTAGCTATTTAATTAGTTGATATTTTATGAAATTCCTGTATCTGATAGATTCTAACTACATATATGTATATATATATATATATATATATATAATTGTTGTCAGTCTAATTCATGGAATTAATACATATAATTTATAAATAAATATAATTTTACAAGATCAATGTGTATAGCAACACATATAATTATATTAATTAATAATAAATTGTATAAAAATATTTATGACATAAATATTTTTTATAAAAATTCAAATTTTTGAAGAAACAAATCAATAAAAAAAAAAAAAAACTGTCTTCTTCTCCACAAGAATCACAAAAGCAAATTTTTTTTTTTTTTTTGAGAGGGAGAGGATATAGTTTTTACTTTTTATATATTTTTTTTTTAATTTCTAGTGAATATGATAACTAACAATTTTTGAATTTTAAGTAGTGCTTTTTAGGCAGTGACTATTAATAATTAATGATTATTATTATTATTTAATCGGGGCAGATCCTATCATTGTGATTCACTCGAT